TACAGATTGCCAACACCGAAACAGATTACCAACACTTTGGCTTAAGAAAAAGTACTAGAATATTATCTATGACCAAAAGATAGCTTTGTAAGAACGAAGGATCAAAGTTGTGTAAAGATTATTTTTTCCAATGGACGAGAAATAAGAATCAGGTTGAATAAAGCCAATTGAGATTAAAATGGTTTTTTTTAAAGTGGATAATTTGGAGAAGCTACCGTAATCTTTCCATTCAGATTTTCAGAATTTTCAGCGATTATCTCGACAATTTGTTTTGCTTGTCTATTTGGTTCAGTTTCTGAACTGATGAAGGAAGAAAATGGACAGATTGAAGCTAAATGTTCGCTTACACTTTATCCAAGCTCATTTTTATCCAGTTTTATCAAAAAAAACCCCATAAAAGCTTAGAATCAAATGATAGACAGTCGGTTTTTTTGTTTTTCCTAAGATTTCCGGTGTATTTTCTAGTGAAAAGCTGTCCCCAGATCTTTTGAAAGAAAAAAGAAACACTAGCCTCACTAAACAAAGTAAAAACTGTTAGTAGTAAAGAATTAGAAAAGATTTGTGAAAGAGATTTTGTGAGGAAAGCCGTCCAAACGAGTCGGCTGAGCGAAGATTTCAAGGTTTTACTTTACTTGGAAAGTGATGGATTCGGCATTTGTGGATTTAGATGCCGAATGATATCTTTTCCATTGTATTGAGTCAGTGAAAGAAAAAGTTCATTTGCGTAAACCCTTCCTCAATGATGGTTATTTAATTTAACTAACTCCTGCCGTATGTTTTTAAATGGCAGTCTTAGCGTGAGGACATTAAGGTAGCATAATAAGTTGTCTCTTTCTCAGTTATCACGGGAACGAATGGTCAATTCGAATGCAAATTAATCAATTTCACTCCAACAAGCAAAAGTATTCGATCTCGATGCTTAAATATTGAAGTACCAGCCGAAAACCCGGTTCTACCTCAGTCGCTTTGTCGTCGTGACGCAATCGAGAGCGCACTTGTCTACGCCCCACACGATCCGGGTTCGATCCCCCCTAGTGCCACTCAATTTTTAATTTTTTTATTATATAAGAAGGAAAAGTATGGACTTTTTAGCCGATTCAAATACCCATTTCTATCTTGACCATCACTCTTGGCAGTGTATCAGATTTTAGCCAAACTAACCAAGCCAAAAAAGTTTTAGTAAAGCCAATTTCTGGAAGGAGCACTAGTTCGTTGACTTTTGCTTCCGGAAATCTTTTAATTTTCCTATTTTCTTCCCAAAACATTGTACCAACTCCACCAAATATAATGTGTTGTTGTCTTTTGCACTTCCTCATCGATTTGTGTGCTTTCCGAGAAGATTTAACTGATTTAAAGATTTAACTATTTAGTTCCTATTTAGTTCCCGTATAGTTACTGCATAGTTCCTATTTAGTTCCTATTTAGTTCCTAAACAGTTACTGTATAGTCCCTGTTTAGGTCCTGTTTGGGTCCTATTTAGTTCCTATACAGTTACCTCTTCGATTTCTGCAATAATCCACATTTTCCAGGATCTAAACATTAATGGCTTGAAAAGTTGAAGACAAATTTCCATGAATCGGATTAATCAGCTCGGATTTTCGAAAATACCGATGAAACCCAAAAAGTTGTTTAAAGGTTTTCCCTTGTCGGGTCAAATCTAGTGAAAAGTCATTCAGATAATAGTATTTTCAAGGATTTCACTATAACAATAAGGCTAATTTTATTCAAAGAATCCTTGTTGAACTTGAGAAAATTTGTTATTTTCAATTCAATTAATCCTTTCTCAAATGATTTGATCAGTAGACTTTTTGGGGAGAAACGATAAACATGATTTTTGGATAGTGGATGGGATTTCCTTTTTCCCTGGAATTCCTTCAACTAGTTTACACATTTTTTGATTGACTAAGATCAGCTAAAAAATAGACAAGATTACGGTAGCTTTTAAAAGTTGACGTATTTCAGAAAAGAAACTACGAACACACACTTTTACGTGATGTTTTTCTGTCGATCATGTTGTTGATTGATTTCCAGCAAACAAGAAATGATGGTTTTTTTTGAGGTGAGCTCGTGCAAAGGTTTGAAGGAATTCGGATGGATGAACACACCAAAGTGGCAACTTTTCCAGAAAGCGGAAGTGAATCGAGAAGGGGAAATGTGATTCTTCTTTCCTTTACTTTCCCTCGGCACACCTCCCCCTCAAAATTCACACCCACTTGGCATTTACCTCTCTTTTTTTTACCCCCTAAACACCAAAAATATTTCCTTTCTCTTCATTTTCAGCTTCTTTACCTTCCTCCCCGGATCTTACTCAACTTTTTTGTGAGTGGGTGCTTTGGATTTCGAAACTATAATCGAAAGCGGAAACTTTCACTGGTTATTGGATTATGAAAAAGTCAAATTGACTTAAAAAGATGAAACAATAAACACTTTTTATTTAGAGTAAACTATAGGTTAATTGGTGAATTTGTTATTCTTTCAACGAAAGTACGAAAAGAAACGAAAAGACTTATTCACCAACCTAATACAACTCATCAGTCACTGCAAAGACTATTTGTTTCCAGTTGTTGGTGTCGTTTTCTTGAGCATCAACACAAACGAAAGAATTTTGCTTTTTCTGCGTAGAGCTTTTGATACTCTTTGATAATCCCTAAGCCGGAAGTCAATAAAAAACATGGTTTGAAAAGAAAGCCGTCAAAAATCTCGATATGTCTCATCTAGCATCAGCCACGTGTCGATCCCAGGAAAACCATACTCTTTAATACTTCTTTTTCTTCTTCTTACTTCTTTTTACTTCTTTTTCCATCCAAGAAAGATTTTTGAGCGGAAATGAAGGATTTTAGATGAGCTTATCAATCGCTCATAATAATTCAAGGACTTCCGCTATTTTTGCCTCCGGAAAATCATTCAAATCAAGGAGAAAAGCCGAAAATGGAGAAAAGACCTATAAAAAAAAGTGGGATCATGTGGGTCTCAGTTACAGATTTTCGGGCAAAAATCCCGGATTACCCCTTTTATCGTGGCTTACTTCACGAGAGAAAAGTTATTTGCTTTCCGCTTTACAATTTCAATCAACGAAACGAGAATTTGATGAAGAAAAATGGATAGTTTACACAATTTTCGGCTCATTCTTTTGTCTCAGCTCATCCCGCGGATCATCTCCGAAAAAATCACTTACCCTTTTTAGCGGATTTCTTTTTTGAGCTGATGATTAGTGAATGGGTGATTTGGGGAAAAGAATCCGAGGATTGGTAACGGATGAGAAAAAGTATAAAAAAAGGCAAATTGGGGTGGCATTTAATTGATTTAGGTCTTCTACAATGTTATTATTCTCCAAAAAGCTGTGGTTACGCCGGAAAAAGCTAGGCAATAACTGATGTCTTTAAACTCACACTTTCCCGATTCAGTTGAGAATAATTTTCAGAAGAAAAATTGTGTTTTTCGAGACGCTTTCATGTTAAATTTGAATTTCTGTTGGAAATTTTAAATGTTAACCTTTGCGCGACGTCGCATTCCAGTTGACGCCGCCGCCATTTGGAGGTAGTAGATGGGAGCGCCGCGTCGCGGTTTCTTTTTTTTCTTTTCAAATCATTTTTTTATCAGATTAATTGAAAGTATTGTTTTATGTTTTTGATTTTGTGTTTATCCTTGCAATGAGAAAGGAATCTAGGTGCTAGGGGAGTTTAGTACGAAAAGAAACGAAAAGACTTATTCACCACCCTAATACAACTCATTGGAGTTTAGGAGGGCACGCAAAGTTTCCATAATTACATCAATTTCCACTTAACTTTTCTGTTGATTTTCACGCAATTTTTACTATTTATTTTAAGAACGACAATTTTAACATTTTAACAACAACTTTCTAACGCGTTTTTTTATTTTTTTTTTATATTTGCGTTTATATATGTTTTTTATTTGCTTACTTTACTTTACTACAATATTTAGTTATCGCTGGTGTCGCTGCAGCAAATAGATTAGAGTTAAAAGCTTTATGGAAATTTACTGAAAGAATAGCCCAAAATTGCCGCAAAATCTGGCATTGACTTTGACGGATGGATTGGGGATTACTATGGAAAGTGCGTAACTGCCTCAATTGTAACAGTCTGAAAAAACGGAAAAATGGAAATTTTGAGTGCTATTTCCATTTGGGAGCCGAGTCCTCCCAAATGGAAATAGATTTCAGAACTTTTCGTAGCCGGACCACAGTGAAGGCCAAAACTAACTGTAAGATGGTTTGGCGAGTTGAATGGAAACAACGAAAGTAAAGCTCATCTCTGTTACAAAACTATTCAATAGCCCTGAATAAACCGTATAGCATTGAATCCTTTGAGCATTGAACATTGAGCATTGAGTCCAGGGCTACAACAATGTACTGTAGAATTTCCATTTCTACTTTAGAATGCTAATTCATGTTTATATGCAAATTTTACTGGAGTTTTTTAAGCCCTGGATCAATCTACAAAAGTTTCGTCACAATAATTCTAGCCCGCATGCTCACAAAATGTACGAACTTTTTATCCAAATCCAAATCCAAATCCAAATCGGTCAATCTTCCACCAATCTTCATTTCTTTACATTTCGAGTTCCTCAAATGAGTCAATCGTTAGCTTTTCGCAAAACAAAAAGACTTATTGGAGAATTTGCCAAAAAAAGACAAAAGAGAAAAAGTCGTATTACGGATCTGTTGATCTCTTAACTTCTTGTAGCTTTTACTTAACATCCAAAATCCGCTCAATCGCAACAATCTCCAACAATTCTCCCCAAAAACAAGTTCCCTTTGATACAAATACGTCAAAATGCTAACTTTCTAGTTAGATTTATGTCTGTTTTGCGAAAAAGATCAAACTTGAAGGGGTTTTGGTAAAGATTTCTCTCGCATTCTTTGCTCAAATTTGATGTCATTGGAAAAATGACAAGTTCTTTGTTATTACATGAAATTTTCGTCCGTGATTCTAATAAGAAATTCTATAGTAAAAGAAAGTTATTCTAAAACTTTATTTCTAAAATTGAGGCACCGGAATACTGTAATCGAGTTTGTTGATCCAATTGTAGATCATTTGAAGGGATTCTTTTGGTTTATCTTCCGGGACGAAATGGCCTGATCCTCGAATGGTCACATAATCGATTCCTGAAATGATTGATGTCCGAACTACAGTCATTTGTCTGAGGAGGCTTTCAATGTCTTTCAATCTTTCAATTGTCTTCCATCTGTCTTTCAATTGGAGTACGGTATTCAGTAAATTCTCAAACCTCCTGAATAGAGCGTGACAAAGCCGGCAACATTGGGTGTTTCCATTGCGTAGTACCAAGCCGCATTCACAGTCTCATTTCCCTAAATCAATATCAAAGGACGGGGAAAAGAAAAGTATGTATTATATTTTAAAAGGAAGATTGTCTTGCTCTTACCAAGATCGTTTTGTTGAGATTTGTGAGGAAATTCTGATTCATCACGTGATTACAGACCGTGTCCACGTCGCCATTATAAACCAACACACGGGCGCCTGACTGAAAAACTTTATATATCCAAATAGTTAAGATCTTAATTTCATAGTGGTACAGTAATTTATCTAATATGAAAATAGTAATTATTCTCAAAAAAACTGACATCACTGACGGCCAGGAACTCGGGTGTCATGTCGAAATGCGTTGTACCGTATGCTTGCTCAACGGGATCACTGAAAGAAAAGTTTTTAAAGGTACTGTAAAGTCATAATACAGTACTAAAAGTATTATTACTCTAACTAGCACCGTACACGCAAGTACTTTGTAAACTACAGTATGCTGAAATGAAGGAATGCGTACAAGACAGAATACCGTATTTTTCTTAATAATATAATATGTTACTATTTTTTCGGCCTTTTTTCGCACCCCTTGAAAAAGGTAAGGGACAAATGAAAAAACTCTTGTTTATCTGACCCTTGTTCTTTGGCAGGGCCGCGCGAACGCACCCCCTCACGCAAAAATTTAGCTGTTAGCGAATCCCAACTCGGGACTGCCACACAGGTCAACCCAGCCTAAAGTGCAATGGCCGAGCCTCGCCATGGGGGTCCCGCCTTAGTGACCGCGAGAGCCCCCCAGCCAGGTAAGTTTATGAGCCGAGAATGGGTGCGGGTTATGGAGGGGACGGGCGCCAGATGGCGAGCGATTACGTGCCCGCACAAAGAACACACAAAGAGCAGAAAGAAGGAAAAGAGGGGAGATGCGAGGGCTCTCAAGCCACCCTTTAGCTTGAAATTTTCACCCTATCATTTTTATCTTCACAACATGATAAATTCAGCACTTTCCTGTCTCTTGGCAGCATACTGCAATAAGACAATAAGCTGAGCCTTTCAAATCTTGTTGTTAGCTAAATTAATTTTTCTATACCTGCACTCTTGCCAATCAGGCAACAGCCCGGGAATATGGAGTGCTTGTCGAACGTCTCTTCTCGCCAAATAGGTTTCAGTGTTTGTGTCTTGAGCACATAGAGGCACCTAGAGTATCAATATTTAATAGTAAAAGATAGCTAATGTTTACAAAAATGCCAAAAAAACTAAAGAGCAGTGCCTAGTTTTTCATTGAAATGCCAATGCTTTCAAGCATTAGCATTTCAATTACTAATGCTAATGCTAATTGCTAATTGCTAATGCTAATGCTTGCTAATGCTAATGCTAATAATTTCCACCAACCCCAGGCCTCTTCTTGATGCTTCTCAACGGACGGTCGATCATTTTTCGATAGTGTCTCTCGATGTGATTTCTTTTCGAGTTTGTGCTCCCATCAAGATAACAACTTGAGTAGAGATTGTAGGGATCCAGCTCATCAGTTCCATCCAGTAGCTAAAAACATTCTAAATCTAATCGAAGATTGTCTCACCTCAATAAGCATTGTTCGACACCCGGGATTCGTCTTGAACAGCGTGAACACCGGACAATTCACCATATCGTTGTTGCAACATTTCCCGGCAATCGTGTCCCAGAGTCTGAACGTGGGAATTCAAGAGGTTGATTGCATTGATAAGTTGTGAACAATAATCCCAATTTTCCTTCACATTTAAAGGAGCCGATTCTAGGATAGAGCCATTGTGTTAAATATTGCAACAATCTACAATGGTTGGGGGACCTTTTATACGCGCCCCGCCCCTTTTCCCATTAGCAATCGAACTTTGAACTCAAATATCTTGATGTTGGGTTGTTCAATTTATAAATTATTAGTATCATTAAACACGCCAAGTCTTTCTCTGTCGATTGGTACAAAGACTATTTAAATTGAACAGCCCAGCACCAAGATATTTGAGCTGAGAGTTAGTTTGCCAATGACAAAGAGGGCGAGGTGCGTATTAAATATTAAAAGTGCGTATTAACTATTAAAAGACGTATTAACGTAGCGTATTAACCTAAGCCTAAGCCTAAGCCAAAGCGCGTATTAAAAGCCACAATCATCTACGAGTTGGACACCTTACAGTATCTTTCAGCTTTCTGTCTACGTATTATCAGGAACATTCTCACTCACTCTTGTCTAACAAGCGCATGATAGTAGTACAATGGTACCATCGTTCCATAATTGTTTGGCCAATTCAACGCCCCATTTCCAATAGCCATTCCCTAAATATTTTCAATTTAGAGAAACCATTTCAGAAAAATCCGTTTTTACCTTAAAATTCGGGAAATTCTGCTTGTCTTTCACAATTTTTGCTCCAACCATTGGCAAATAGACGCCAGCATAAGATTCGCCTAAAATGGTAAGTAGAATTGGAAATGTTTCTGTTTCTGAAAGTGCCTGTAATGTAAAAATCCCTGTCTCTGAAATCCGGGAACTTATTGAAGAAGTCAATCTAAAGTTTTCAAGTTTAAAATTCGATTTTTCTGATCCAACCAAAGCATCGTAGTTATTCTGAGCGACTTCATCGTCATCAGTGGTCACATTTTGATCGGTCGAATAGGAGAAACCGACACCGGCTGGTGATTCGATGAAAACAACGGAAGCAAACTGAAGGCATTCAAATCGAGGCATTGTTTCCGATAATTTTTGGGATTTACAGTGCTTATTATACAATAGAAGACGCTATTCTTGGCACTGTATGGTTGTTTTGATCAGTTTTCGTTTTGTTTTGTTTTGTTTTGGGTAAGTTTTGGTTAAGTTTTGTTACCTTATTCCAACTGTATGGATTCGCGTAGACGACACTCGCTTTGTCGCCGATCTAAATCAGGTTCAAGGTCATTAAGATGCGTAAACTTTAATAAATTTATTACAATAGCTTTCGCCTTTTAGATTTATGCGTTATTAAGGGTTTTTTTCATCATACACCAGCAGTTAACCCCCGGCTAAACGCCGGGGTTAACCGCTGGCCAATTTGGGTCAATTTGACCCAACGCATAGTTTACATAAGTCAAAGTTGGGTATTAATTATTAGAAAATATACTACAGTTTATGATTTTATTACAGAATTTGCATTTCAATAACTAAACTGAGTTTTAGAGGGAAATTTTCCCGTTTACCCGAAATCCCTTTGATCTTGCCGCCAGTTCTTTCAGTTTTTTTGAACGTTACTCAAAAAAGGTCAAAGATTTTTGCAATTCTGATTTGACAGACGAAATTGCCGTAGTCGATTACATATTGTCACAAAAAATCAGACCAAAATTCCCATTAGGACTCGACTTATGAAGTGAACGAACAGACACTCACACAAAATTTGCCCTTCATATTAGTCTTACGCAAAATGACCAACGCAAAATTAGTCAAGCTGCTTACCAGTACTACTTATTATATCTTATATCTTCTATTTTATTCGTAAGATATCTGATGAACCTTGAACGGGCCTAATTCTTCAAGAAGTCCCTCAAGTGATGAACATCCCGGTCCACCGTTTAACCACAAAATCACCGGATCTCTCGTGTAATCTCTTTGCGAGAATGTGAACCTGGAAATCTAATTTTATTCGTACAATTTTGATTGAACTAACGCAAGCCGCTAGCTGCTAGTCAAGCTGCTTACCAGTAATGAAAGCGTTTTGTTGCTGATGCTTGCAAATATCCGGAGTACTGTTGAAAGTTAACGGTGAAGTTGATGAGGGGCAATGGTGGGATCTAGAGCTGATTTCAATGGGAATCATTATTTAATGATACTAATAAAATGCCCAAATTCTCACTTTGTCTTGATCCGGCCAAGCAATTATGGAAATAAGTAAAGAAAACCCAAAGATTATTAGTCGAAACATGGAAAAATTTTCAAATGGTCACTTTGCTATCAAATTTGTGAAATTCACTCCACGTAGAAAAGAGGATTAAAAACGAGACTGCGGAATTTGAAATTGGAAACCGTTCTTCTTACATCATCTCTAGAAAATGATTAAAGTTTAAATAAGACTTGGAACCAATTCGTGTCAAATCCATTGGCTTGGCTGGCTGGCTTGGCTGGCTTGACTGGCTTGACTGGCTTGACTGGCTTGACTGGCTTGACTGGCTTGACGGCGACGGCGGCGGCTTGGCTGGCTGACTGGCTTGGCTGCGGCTGGCTTGACTGGCTTGGCTGGCTTGGCTGGCTTGCTGGCTTGGCTGGCTTGACTGGCTTGGCTGGCTTGGCTGGCTTGGCTGGCTTGGCTGGCTTGACTGGCTTGGCTGGCTTGGCTTTAAAATCCTTAAACATTCCAAGTTTCCAATTTCCTTAAACATTCCATTCCAGGTTGACTTTAAAATCCCTAAACATTTAGAAGTTTCAAGTTTTCCCCTCTTTCCCAATACCCGGATTTCCCCGCAAATTGTGGTGTGTTAAACTCTCAAAAAAAAGGTGACAAATTTGGGGGAAAAAAAGGAAAAACTTCGCGAAAGCGATCATTTATTGTTATGTGTTCTTTTCCCTTTCTGTATCTTTTCGAAATGTATTGACAAATGTCCTCGGTGTGTCCCTTTCACACGCCCATTATCTCACCAACATTCACCCATCAACTAAAGGTGATTTCAATCCGAAAAGTTTCACTCACTCATCTCAATATTGATGTCAATTCTCTAGAAAAACATCTCTGATCAATTACTTTTTTCTAGAGATATTTGATGTCCTTTTTCTGGGCGCTTTCTTTCATTTCCTCAATGTGTACCGCGCTTTTTGGGAATTTATGTGAATTGGGTTGGGAAATTGACTCGACCGGACTTGATAAATCAATTAAAAGTGATCAAAGACTCTAGACCTTTATTAAGAACTTATTACAATAATCTTTGTGAAATATTCTTTAGGAAAAGTCTCCAAAGTTGGGGTATTGTAGGGCAAATTGTCTAAATGGTGGTGTAATAAAATCTGAGTCGATCCTTTGCTAGTAAACCTTTCCCCAAAGTAATTGTAAAGAGACTGTTGCATCAAAAGCCACAGTAGCCAAGTCTACAAGAACTTTCCTAAACGATCTTTCACAAAGGACTACTGTAACAAGCTTGTTTACAGTGTTGTTTACAGTAATCCTGAGAGCCAAAAGCTACAGTAACCAGCTACAATAAGCTCAAGTTATAGTACTTTTCTGAAGACTACTGTAACCACTCCAAGGTATATAGCTAGATTACAGTAATCCTTTAAATGACTTCCTTTCCGTATTCTTCTTGCACTTTAAATCTTTGCAACTTTGACGAATTTCAAATCAAAGAACGTTTAAAGAGCAAAATTTGAGGAAATTTTTAGATGTCAGCTATTTTCAGCGAGTGAATTTCCCCCTGAACTTTTCGCATTCCGCTTCACTCGTTCGCCTATTTGTGTGCACATTTTTCTCAACTCAAGAGCTATTCACTCGAGAATCTTTAAATGGGGGGAAATATAGAAAATCGGAAAAAAGGGGGGGAATCGTTTGCACCATCAAATATACACAATGAGATTATGATAGGAGAAGAGTGAGTGAAGGGAGGATGAGGCACACTTCTTACTGCTGCTATTCATTCATCTATTCATTCATCTATTCAATTATTTGCCTCATAAATGATGAATTCACCAAATGAATACCGTATTTTCCGGAAAACTCTTATTTCTTTCTGTTGTTTTTTTTTTCATTTAATGGTCTCGGGTGCGCGATTGGCCGTGTGAAAATGGTTGTTAACGAGACGAGAGTAGAAAAAAAGATTGAGTGCATTATACTGTTCGAAAATGCTTGATTGAAATGGATCGAAAATGCTTGATTGGAATAGATCGGAAATGCTTCAAGGTTTAGAAGGGAATCTTTTATTGTCTATGGAGAATCTTTTTATTGTATATTATGCAAATAATTAAATAAATAAAATCTAAAACACTGCAAGTACTATGAAAAGTACAGGATCGTTTAAACCGATCAAATTTTCCAATGATGGGCTTTTCAATCATTTCAATCATTCCAATCATTCCAATCATTTCAATCATTTCAACCATTTCAATCATTCCAATCATTTCAATCATTCCAATCAAGCATTATCCAACAGTATAATGTACTCAATCATTTGATTGAGTTACCACAGCATTGTGTTGTAAATTTTTCTCATTTTTTCTCCTTTTTTCTCAAAAATTTACTTCAAAAATCCGAGGAATGAAATAGGAAACCCTCAACGAGCAAGAAATACACGTAAAATCGAAAATTTCATGTGATTGAAGAATAATGCACTGACAAGAGACCAATATGAAAGAGAAAATGCGCAAAAATTGATAGAACCCGAATCAAAAATAGAAAAAAAGACTAAGATTAGATGTAGACAGTGAAGAATCGCATCGAACTTTTCATTTCAATCATTCAGTTTGTTTTCGATCGAAACAGTAAAGAAATCAAAGCTTTCATCCATGGTTGAGGCCGACAAATTGCGGGAACATCAGCTGAGGAGGAAGAAGAAATGAAAGTGAAGGGGTGGGGAAGGGAAAACCCTGCAAGAAATTGATTTGATCGAGTTGCTATCTTTCTTTCTTCATTCATTGATTGAATCAGCCAGCTTACCGTAGCTGATTGTTGTAGATGAGTGGGCGGTGGTGGGAGGAGTCCTGTTGCAACAGCCGCCAAATTCAATGGGATACTCTTCCGACAACGAGCACGACGATTCGAAAACCAAGTCTAGAAACATTTGGATATTTTTCGATACAGATTTGGCTAAATAGTCAGAAAATGATCTCTTTTCTCTAAACTTTCTTACCATAATCTTCTCTTCGGTTAGATTTGCCTGTTGTGAGAGGGTTTCTCTTTCAGCAGCATCCGGATATGTGTTCTTTCGAAAAGCTGTCTCCAGAACCTAAAAGGTTAAATGGTAAGCAACTTTTAAAGCGATTGTAAGTTCCTATTGAACTACCGTACCTCTAATTGAGCACTACTGAACGATGTTCGATTTCTTCGTGGCTCGCTCGGCGATAGGGTTGAGTCGTCATCCGACGAAGAAGTTGATGTCGATGTGTACGATTTGGTGTCGTCTGAAATTTACATGTACAATTTATGGTTCTTTGATTCGTTTTTGTAATATTGATCAAACGGGGATAACGTTCAACTCTTCTTTATCCTCACCAGCCTGAAATGTCATTTCAAAGGGTTCTTTTGAAGTTAGATTTCAGAACGATCTGATTCCGAGAAACCCCTCATTTAGCCCATCCCAAAACTGCTTTCAAATCCGGCTTATCTCGAGCCATCTCGAGCTCGAGCTTATTTCGAGATATAAGCCTTCAAAGTTTTGCCAAACAGCAAGCTAGCCTACTTAAAGCCTTGGCACCGACCCTACGAATTGCCTTGGTAGCTTAGTCAGTAGTATGCTAGCGCCACGTAGTCCCTGGTCCGAATTCTCTTGCTGTCAGCTTATTCATCCATCTTATGATAACAGATAATGAAAGAAAAAGCTATGACACATCTGTCTTCTCTTGGTACTGATAGAGATTGGTAATTCCATGAACTTTCTCTTGGTACTCGATTGGTAACTTTCAAAAACTTTTTCATTCATTGATAGTTTTCAAAAAAGGAAACCATACACAATTTCCTATAATCAATCCATCTCAATCAATTAGCCATATTGTCGAGCTCAAAGACAAGGGGATTAGATAGAGACAATTTCCCTGTTCAATGCGATAACAAGGCCAACAAAGGGATCGGTTCTGGCGGCTCTTTTACCAAAGTGAATGAGTCTGAGTTCTCCGCATGAGTTCAAACAAGTCCATACGGTGTTTGCCTCTTCAATCTATCCACTCTTTTTTCTCATCAAGTACCCCAGGTGCCATAATTCCCCTTTCACAATCTTTTTCCTCATTTAGTGTCTTTGTCTGACACGCGCTCAGGCTTAGCCGCTAAAAACGATCCATTTGATCAAATCCACCGCAAATGGGCGGTAAAACGCTGTGCAGAAAGTTTGAACGGTTCGAATGATTGTACGGTGGATTTGATTTTGGTATCAAATGTAAAATAAACCACTATTTCCTTGGATATTTGAGCTCTATCTTTGGCTTTGAGTTTTTCTGACCCATTTCCGATCAATTCAAAGCAAAAGTTTTAGTTTTAAAACGGCTTTTCCCAATCCCCGGCCCCCACTCTTCCCTTTTGTTCACCTCTCTTGATTCAGATGGGTTAAATACTCAAAATTTGTCAGCCTTTCAAATATTTCGAAAATACAAGCTAGCACTTTACCCTATAAACAGCAGTCTCACTAGAGAACTTCACCAGATGCTCATGACCTTTTAAAACGAGACAAATTTTATAAAATCGACTACGCTGATTCCGAATCCGTTTTCAGTTTTTGCCCTCGAGATAATTGATTAAAGATTTTAAAAGACCAAAAGAAGTTTGGGTCAAAACCGAGGAGGGGATCGAACCATGGTATTTGGACCTGCAGCGGAGCCATAGCGGGCAGCTTTGGCATTGCATTACACCGCCAGTTGGCTTCGTTGCGAAAAATGAGCTCAAGTAAGGAAGCCTAAAATTTGTGCTTAAAGCTGAGGAGGGGATCGAACCATGGCGTTTGGACCTGCAGCGGACCCATAGCCGGCAGCTTTGGCATTGAACTAGACCGCCAGTTGGGTTCGTTGCGAAAAATGAGCTCAAGTAAGGAGGCCTAAAATTTGTGCCCGAGTTAACGACGTTCCCTTGTCAGATGAACGGTCATAAAAGTCACCTAAGATGATCAAATATGGGTGAGCATTTTTATGGAGAGAAGAAAATGGACGAGATTGTGAAGAGATTGCAGGAGTGATTAGGTAAAGAAAGAGAAGAGAATAAAATCTATCAATTGAGTAACTAATTGTCTCGATCTATTGCGAGAAAGGGGGAATATCGATGAATGATGAGCAATTCTCATTCATTGTCACCTCTAGACGCCTGTACTCGTTGACTATTAGAAGTTGTGTCGTAAATACGTTTGAATTGAATGTAAATGTAAAAACTACTTGAGAAACACTGGAAAAGATTCATTGAACTCATTCATTTCAATTGAAATTCATTGAACTCATTCATTTCATCCATTTATACGAAATCTATGACCCATTGTTTCTTCAATTTCCCTCAGCTAATCTCAGGGTCATTGCCTAATGTCTTAAAGTCAGAAAATAGATGTAAAAGAGATTGTTTCAGGTTTTTTAAAATTCAAAACTTGCAACGAACCTTCTGATGAAAGCCCGAGAATGCTGTCAATTGAGTGGCTCAAACGTTTTTTCGTCGTAGCTGCCGAGGGTGGCTCGGAAACGGTCGGACTCTGGATAAGGAAATTTTTGATAAGAAATATAACAGGACTAAAATACTAAAGTATAAATCTAAAGCATGTATAAGTCATTATCTAAATCCTCATCATTACTTGTGCTGAAGAGCGGACAGAACGAAGTAGTCTTGATATCGAGGAGACACTCGGGGCAGTTGATCGGGCACAGATTCCTGAACAAGATTTCGATTTTGTTTAGAATCAGTTTTCGTTTATTTTCTAGCAGATTGTTCTGAAAAAATCGAGAATTACCAATTTCAACGAGTTTCTCTCGGACTTCAACGGGAGTGAGATCGGGATGTGAGTCGTGCACGTCGAGGATTTGTCTCTCAACGGCTTGCACGGGCAAACGAGAACGGGGATTTCCACCAATCTGCAAAAAATGACCTTTATCTTGAGCTTATCTTTGACTGACTTTGATTGGTAAAGTTACTACTGATAAGATCAACTCTAGAGTGCGCCAAAGGGTACAATTCTTGCAGTTCTACAATAGTACTCTGAATCATTCTAAAAAGACCAGAAATTTGCTTACAACTACAGTAACCCCTTCTCCACTCCATCAGCTTTCTCTTCAAAATTTTCGTATCCAAATGGGTGTGAAACGTGCGCATAAATAGGCTTTTCTTTTTCAATATTGAGCGCGACGAATCGGAGATGAGAAAAGGGAAACATTGGATCATCTTCTCAGCAAAACACAACCAAAAAGATAAAAGGAAATTTTGAAAAGATTGTTGAAAAAGAGAATTGAAAAGAGAAATGAGAAGTGATGAAGGAAACTCCAGCTGAGATTTGCATAGCTGGACGCCTCTCTATAAGAGCAGCCGGCTGTCTCCACCCTTCCACCACACAACATGTTCATATGAAGAAGATACGGTAGATTGGGATTTTACTGGTGTTTCCCGTATTGTGCAAAAAGGAATGTGGAAAAGGTGATTGTTCAATTTCCGGACAACTTACTGTAACTGAGAAAGCGCCACAAACACATTACAAATAAAGGATACGGTTATCCACTATCATCAAAAGTTTACCTTCATACTGACTCAAAAGCAAATCTCCAACCTGTCCTGGGCAAATACTCCCCGTTTCAGCATAGCGATTCAAAATCTTTGACACGGCTCCGTGCGAGACGCGAAGTTGACGCGAGATCTGGCAAGGTCTGTAATTTTTATGACATTAAATCAAAGGGGAACTCTCTTTCTTTCTTTTTCTTGGCAACTTTTAAGGTACCGGATAGCTGAGTTAGAGCATATTGCTTGGAAAGCAAAAAGGTTGAGGTTCAATCCCCTCTTGGAAATCTACTTTTTCTTGCCAACTCCTTCACTTCTTTAAAATCAAATACAAGACAAACAAAAAGCAAAACTCATTTCAAAGTTTCAATTCTCAAAGCTTTACTCAAAACTCACTTGACTCCACTTGCCGCCATCTCGACGATCTTCGCACGAATGTGTTGTGGCAGAGGACGGCCATTGATGAACACGCCACCCAATTGATTCACTCGACCCTAAAAGCTGGAATTGTCAAAAAAAAATAACTACTTACAATTAGAACCATTGTAATGATTGTCAAAACGCAAACATGTATTGTATTTCTGAAATCCCACCTGTCCCAAAATATGGGTAAACGCCAAGTTGCTCGTCTCCCCACTCATTCCACTGGTCTGAAATGGAAGACTTTTAAAACAATTTTCTGAATAATTTAAAAGAAATGAGAAAAGGATGTTCCAACTGGGCCATAGGATTGATAAACCAGGGCAGAAGCCAAGCCCTGAATCTGGTCCGACACTGATGAATGCAAGTACTTCTGAGAAACTGAGAAAGTTATTCTACCAAAAAATGGCCAAGGTGCTAAACTGTTTGTACAATATTCGAGAGAATGCGGATCAAAAGACTGGTTTGTTGGTTGGATGTTCACACCTTTTCGAGGAAATGATCAAAAGGAGAAGAAAAGAGAGCAAAAGAATCCATGGGTGGAGATCAAGAAGGAGGGAAGGACAAGGTGATTGGGTGCGCGCAAAACTCCGCCCCTCAACTCTACAATACTCTCATCTCCTTGGATTTGGGCTTGTTTTCATCTTGACTTTCGTAAATTCCGAAAAATGGGTTTACCTTTAAAAATGTGATTGCTTAGTTGTTATTGTTTTTGAACTAACTATAATATAAGTGATACCGGGATAAGTGATTTAGATTCATTGATTTCTTAAAAGTTTGCCTTATGATCAAGGAAAGAAAAGACTTTCTGGACAGCCTAATAGTTCAAGTCAAGTCAGCAGTAAAGCTAGATCTGATAGTGAGCTGGAAAAATTGATATTGACGCATGACTTATCAGGATTGACTTGAGTCAAGGCAACTAAATGAAAAGAATCATTTAGCAAAGGCAGACAAAACTTTCCAAACAATTCTAGGAAAAACTTTTGAACAAAACGCAGAAGAAAACTGGTAAGCCAATCGCCTATCATTGCCTTGGAGCAGAAAAATTTCTCTGGCATTACTTGAGGCCTTTTCGCAAATCGGAACGCAAGAAAGGTGATGATTTACAAGTAAATCAGTCATTTACAAGCACTCTTTGAGCCGGAAGGAAGGATTCCCATGTTTTGCTATGTTCGATTCCCCAAAAAGACACCAATTCCATTCACGTGTCTCCCCTCAGGGCAGAGACAAACGCCAGCAATTATATAGGTAAACTTGCTCAAACAAAGAGGTGATATTTCTAAAGAACTGTTTTAAAGAATGCTTTGTTTTTGCAAATGTTTTTAAAACAATAGTTAAACAATAGACTAAATGTAAAGAATTTTGTAAAAACCAACAATTCATGAGTTCTGTTATAAAACTAAAACTTGACAAGCAATTTGATCAAATTGCTAGTCAACTATAACTTTTAAGAATCGGATCTGATTGCTTTCTTTTCAGCAGAGACTTTTTTTCCTAAAAGGATGAGCGGATTAGCGCGAAGACTTTTGAAGTGTTAGCAGATCTCATTCATTGATTGATCTGATATCGCCAATTTGGAGGGAATCCCTTTTGAAGAAGACATCAAGGTCGATTTCTATGCAAAAGTTTGGATTGCTGGATATAAATCTAAAAACTTTTATACTTTTATCCTATACTAGATTTGTTTCTCTTGACTTTCTAAAATGTTTCAACTTTCAAAAGCTACCGTAGCATAATTCTTTTTCTCAAAAACCTTCATGGTCCCATGACTGACTGGCTAAGAAGCCCTTATCTTAGTCGGGTTCAATCCCGCTAGATTATTAGTTCTTTTTCCATATTATAGGGTTTTTCCCTAAATTTAAGGCTTAGAGGTGCTTGTGTATTTGTTTACAATAATCGTCTAAATAAATGTATTCTTTAAAAAAACACTGTGAATGTTGCAAAAGAAAATTTCGCGGCTCGTTTCCGGTTGTGGTGATGTAAATGCGCGATCTGTCCCCCAAAAAAACTCTTCTCACCACCATTTTTTTCCTCAATTTCCATTTACGGATCGCCTCGAGGAGCGAGAAAGCGCACAGAAACAAACACGGTTACAAGTGTGAGAACGGCGCGACAATCTTCCCCACACAAACCAATTCCCCAACGCATATACGGTACTCAACAAAAAGCGGCTTGCAATTGGAAGCAATTTCTCAATTTTTCAAATCTTTATTGAAGTTTTTTTTTGTCTCAGACAATAAAACAAAACCGCCTCTTCTGCTAGATCGAATCACAAAAGTGTAATTGTTGATGTTGTTTTTTAATGGCACTAAATGGTGAATGCTAGTGGCAAAGTCGGGACGCTCTGAATGAAATGCGATATTTACAGGCAGTGGATCAGATATCATTGATGATGTATTGATGGATAAAGGGGGTCTTTGTTTGAAGGCGGCTGATCACCAGATAACCGCACATGCACACACGGGTCAACGACTTGCCGCCTCAGTGCCAGCGGCTCTCTGCACTTAATTGATAGCATGGATCACAAAGGGGAGCAAAAATAGCTTTCTTCAGATTTTTCTTTACCACAAGATAAAGTGTTAAACTTTTCAAAAGAAGATAAATTTTGAAGGTATCCCTTAATAAAATGTGCAACAAGACAGCAACAATGAATATTTTGTTTCGGCATACTGTAGTGGAGCGAGTGATGCGAGAATATCGTCAACCTTTCGGAAGACACTGTCAAACAGTGAATAGAAGTTCATTTTGTTCACGAGCATTTCTTTATTGAATATCTTTCAACAGTAATCATGTTCATGTTTATGAGAATTTGTCTTGTTGTCTTGAAAAAATGAATGTCTTGCCCACCATAACCAAAAACTATTGCATCTTCATCTATAACTAAAAATAACCTATAATCATCATCAAACAAAACGAAATCAAGTTTACGATCGGAATGGCCTCATAAAGCATTCTCGGCTGTCAATCATTGCAAAAGAATGCACGTATCTATTAAAAGATTAGAGGCCAGCCGTTCAAACTTTTTGCGGGCGCGCGAGTGGGCGGTCGGTCGATCTAAAAAGGATACCGATCGTCTCCAAGATTGCATGATTACAGGTCTTAAGCGCCGACCAATCCTATATCGAATCATTTCCTCCTCTTGCACTCTCTCTGTGGGAGTTCGATTGTGTACCCAAGAGGTGTAACACAATTACCCAGACCTTCATGACTTACGTAAATGAGCCAAATTTCTTTTTTGGTTGCAAAACATAAACGTTTATTCGTCATCAAAATAATAGAGGAAAACAAAAGTAACACAATAAATTACAATTAATTTGCAACGAGAAAAAATAAGTCTATAAAAAATTACTAATCATCACTTGAATCCGAATCTGACGAGCTTGAAGAAGTAGTATCAGAGCCACTCTCGCTGTCATCGTCGGATGATGATGAAGAGGATTCAGAGCTTGATTCGGAGTCAGATTTCTTCCTCTTTCCGCCTTTTTCCAAAAACTCGCGAAGATCCACCCTAAAATTTATACACTTATTAGCTTTCTGATTATTAGCTCTCTCACGTCAGTCCACCAAGACCGATTAATGTGAAGAAATTGATGGCGAAGCGAGTATTGGCTGGGTTGTCCCGAGGGAAAAGTCCCTCAAACGCATGTTGCAATGTACTAAAAATCATTGAATTCTAGAAAATCAACAATAACTCTAAACTTACGGATCACAGATTCTTTCATACAGCTTTGGGAGTCCCATCATTTGGGCCAATTCAAGGAAAATGGTTTTGATGTAAATCCTGCCCGAAGAAGTTGTCTCATTCTCGTTCAAATGGATTTCGCTCAAAACCTAAATTTAAACACTTAAAATATTGATACGAAAAAGTAAATATTCGCATAAAGACTTACATCCCAAGTAATGGCATCTGTGAAAAGCAAATGACTGATCAAACGAGCCATATTCCTCAGTTTTGTAATATCAAAGCGATGGATAGTTTGATAAGTCTCACGAGCTATCGTCTCAAAAGTAGCCTAAAATAAAAAAAATAGTCATATACTTTTTAAACTAACTTGAAATTCACGTTTCAACCGACAAAAACGCTCGCAGAGAAGTCCATAAAACCTTTCATAAGTACGTTGCTGTGCACAACAATCAACGAGCATGTGAATGAGTTCCGGCTAAAATGAAGAAAAAATGTGGCTCTTTCCTATTAGTAGGTACCTTAAAAAAATCGGGTACCCTATAGCTTAAGAAAAGCGGGTTCCACGTTTAAAGTCTCAATTCTTTTTAAGGTACCTAGTAATCGGAAAGAATCAAAAATGTTTTATATTCTATCAATAAGTCCAACCTCCAATTCTGGCTTGACACCCATTTTGAGAAGTTTATGAGCGGCCTCTTGATAGTCGAGCGATGATTGAATTGTCAAATAAACTTCGCGACGGAAAGCAACGAGATTTTGCTCAGTGTTGTCAATGATTTCCATTTGTTGAGGTTGAGCTGAAATAAGTATTTAAATATTGCACTAGATTCATCTGAAGTTTCATAAAATTTGAATTGATAAAATTTTTGAATGTCTACCGTTTGCAGCTGCTTCGTCGTCACCCTCTTCATCATTGTCTTCTTCCTCTGATTCCTCCTCACTTTCACCGGCGTCACCAATGATTTGTTCACGGATCTCGTTGAAGGCAGCTTCATTTTTCTCAAAATCGGGATCCAGTTTGAAAATGTCTGTAAAGTTTGTTTGAAAGCCAAGTTGATCGAAAATTAAATTTGTTTTTTAGTTGACCCACTAAGCATATTTTCAGGATCGGTAGCATCTTCAAGGGAAAGGGTATGTGTAATTTGGTCCTCTTCCGAAATAAGATCGAGTGCATCAATTAAAGCTGGGTAGTCCTTAAAGAATAAACTTTGCTAAGCAATAGAATCAAAAACTGACCGCAAATTTATCTCTCCTAATTGCCATTGCAGTTTCAATCATATAACGAATACGTGAATCCAATTGTGCTTCAGCAAGAATGTTTCGAAGTCTTGAGAAAACATTGTCCAAGGCACGCGGGGCAATCTAACAAATGCTTTTTCAATCAGCGTTTCTAAATAAAGCAAACCTCTGTCAGTTTCGCGCCACATTCTTTCAAAAAAGCAATACACACTTCCACTGAATCTTCCGTTGGTGTTTTAAGCATCAAAAGCATAATCTCAAGGGCAAGCAACTCGTGAGCCTAAATATGCATCGAACTCATATTCAGAGGAAAACAGCATACCACTTGTTGATTGATCAAATGTGCGAGGAATTTACTGACAGTCACCGTTGTTGCTTTGTCGTTTCGACGAAAAGACCGCTTGAACTGCACGATCAAACGCCTAAATACATAGTTTTTAAAGCCTAGAACTGTGAAACATACTTAAGTGTCAATTCACCAATAACAGGAAACTTGGAATTAATCACCCCAACCAAACCAGCGTATACATGTGAAAACGTTGGAGAAAAGGCTTGTGCTTGAATTATCGATCGAGTCAGCAAACCCCTAAAATTTTGTTTACTTGAAAAAATGCTAAAGAACAAACTTTCCGCGGATAATGTTTTCTTGTAGAAGCTCTCGCACAATTCCGACAAGATTGCTGGCGTTGACTTTATTGACGAGACCGTGGATCTTTTTCTTCAGACGCTCCCAATTCAATCGTTGAAATTGCTCACCCGATTTATCCTAAATTTTTTCTGTGGTCATGTTATCATTTGATGCATTACCTGAATTTGTTCTTGCATCAACTTCAGCTTCGCTGGTGGGATGTATGCGCCTCCAGTGCGAGAACGCAATAAATCAACAGTCTCTTTCTTTTCCTAAAATGTATTTACTTTAATAAAGTTTTCTTGTATACTTTTTGAGGAGCTTCATTTTCTTTTGCCTTTTCCGGTGATTCTTCACGTCGAGCACGTTTCGGCGGCGTTAGCGACCTAGACAACTAATACTGAATCCAACCCGGGTTAAACTAACCGTTTCCGCCGTTCAGGACTGGCATGACGCTTTGGTGATCGGGATCTAAATAAGTTCCATGAAAAAAGGTGCAAAGCTTTATTACCGTCTTCGTCTTTCTGGAGAAGCTTTACGCTTAGGGGATGGTGACCTAAATCAGCTGTAAACGAAAACAACTTTAACAACTAACCGTCTTCGCCTTTTTGGTGAGCGGTCACCACCTCTGCGTCTTTCTGGCGAACGTTCATGGTCCCCACGGCCACGGTCCCCTCGATCTCGATCCCCACGATCACGATCTCGAGATCTGCGTCTTTCTGGTGTAGCTTTACGTCGTGACCTTCTTGGAGATCTAAAAATCAGAATGTATTCTCAGTGCGCAAATGCAAACACTACCGGCTCTTGCTTCGATCTTTTGATTCACGTCGGCGAGGACTTTTCTCTTTTGGACTGGCGGATCGAGATCTGCAAATGTTATGCTTACTAGTTGCTGCCAAGATTTTCTCAGCTAAAATTTAACACAATAACCTCATTGAACCTTTTATAAGTTAATGTCCTATTTCCTTCTACTCAAATTGTAATGACTTAGCTCAAAAGTCCTCAAATATTTTTTTAATTTCGAACCTACTAGAGTCATCACTACAGCAACGACCAGTATAATTCAAAAAACATACTTTTCTTTGCTATTTTTCCGAGATACATCTGCCTTTTTTCCGAGCTCTGGCTCTGGCGACTTTTCGTTACTAAAAAGATTTGGCTTTGGCTAGCAAAAGCTTTTAATCAACTAACCTGCCAATGTAATCGTCCTCTGGAGAGCTTTCCCCGGAGCCAGATGGAGTTCCTGGAGCGGCCGGTGAGTCACTCATCTTAAACTACCTAAATGTTTCATCGTCGCAAAAGTTCTGATAACTGCTTCACACAACACCCATTTCCTTTTAATTCGCATATATAAACTTTCCATTTTATAGGTATTGCGTTTGATTCATGCACCGTGAACATAATTAACTCAACAAATTAAACTTTATTCATAAAAATACGGAAGAGATCAATAATAACGTTACACACTCAACAAGTTAGCAAAATGATAAATGATGAAAACTAGGCGATCAACTTTCTGAGTCTTCGGCACCTCCGATGTAGAGGATGTTGTTGCACCTAGACAAATTAAACAAATTAGAAAAAAGTCACATTAATCACCTTATTAAAATTTCCCCCAAAGCTCCAGTGTTTGTTCCATCAATGTATTCCTCTGCGTTAGCCATCTAAAAAATAAAAAAATTTATTTGAAAATGCCTAAGTTTACCTAAGGAAGGGTTACTCGTTATACTTTTACTCGATTGTTTACAAGCGACATAGCTAACAAAATTCAAAACGTACTGCTCCAACTAGCTTTAAGCTATACCATAAAAAAATTGACATAAACACAACTGCACCTGGACATTCATGTAGCCGTCGACCGAGATGAGGACGCCTCGATATTCCATTCCCCACTTCAATCTGCACACAACTGGCTTTCCGGCGAGCCCATTGAGGAACGGCTTTGGGTTGACTGGTTGAACAGACATTCTCTGAAGAGAAAATTAAAAACGAATTTAAGTAGATGAAATGTTAAAAAGAGCAAGCTTGACGCGGGAAGGAGTCCTCGTAAACAAAAAGAACTGTTTTTCGGAATAATTTTTGGAAGAAAAGGATTCGAATACAGGACAGGTATGTAAATAGGCGCTTTATGGAGGGACGGTGTGGTTTTTGCACGAGAGAAGAGAAAGGGTGACAGAAATAGACAGGCGTAAAAATGTAAGATTGGCTAATTCAACAACATGCGAAAAATAAAATAATTGCTTTTTTTAACTTTTTTTGAACTTTTTTTAAACCACTAGAAGTAAGTTAAAGTTATTCAGCTAAATGATTAGCCTCTACATTTTTTGAAATAAAATGCTTATCATAGTGCATTTTGAGAAATTTTCGGCGCTAAAGCTTACACCTTTTTAAAGGGCCGGGTAACAATAAAAAATTTTTTACGGCAACCACCTGTTTTTTTTATTTTAATATCGCTGATTTTATTATAAAAAGAATAAAAATCACCCGGCTAGAGTGATTTGATGGGTTTACAAATTTTTGGAGACACTGCAAGGCTTGGAGAAAAACAAGATCGTCACTCATCAGACACCTCAGCACAGTCTAGATCGATTGAGTTTTAATTGCAGATAAATTTAAAAACAAAATAAAAAGCACAAAAAACAATAAAAATAAGTTGTTAATCGATAATTCTTCCTCTTGCTCACTTTCATCTTCGCTCAAGTACAGCAGTTCCTCAAGCCGGCTTCCTATCTTATCAATTTCCAGCGCATCTTCACCAGAAGACTGGATCTCCTCCACCGTACGACGTCTTCAGCGCTTTGATTGACACAATTAGATCTTTTTTCCATTTGTGGTCGATTATGGTTTTAGTTTTCTCAAATAGGTGCCTTTTAGAAAGCGCATTACTCGGGAGGAACACACTCTAATAGATAGCTTAGGGTGTTTTGATGGCCTTTTGCATTATCTAAACATAAAATCTCCATCTGGAAAAAGGCATCTAGAGATGTTAAAAACCAAAAGTGTAGATCGAAAGTCTAAAGAAAACAAAAATAAAACATAATGTCTGACTTTTGCTTTACTTTCGCACTTACCTTGTAGATGAACTACGCGAGCCTTGCAGTGTCTCCAAAAATTTGTAAACCCATCAAATCACTCTAGCCGGGTGATTTTTATCCTTTTTTATAATAAAATCAGCGAAATTAAAATAAAAAAATAGGTGGTTGCCGTAAAAAAATTTTTATCGTCACCCGGCCGCGATTAATACCCCCCCCCCCCCTTTAAAACATTTTTTCATTTTGGTGATACTAGCTCAACCCCCCTTTCTTCATCTCATTATTTTACCACTTTTTCGTCATAAAAACATACAAGATCATTTAAGCAATTTTTCAAGAGGGCTATACTGGCTTACCCCATCCCCCACTCAAAATTTTGTCTCTTTTTTTTTGGCTATTTCGCCTATAAACACAAACAAAATATTAGCTTATTTAATTTCTTCCTAGATACTTTAATCTTTCTTCCAAATAATTTTAATTTAATTTAGCTTTAAAGGTCCGCTTATTTCACAATGCCAAATTGTAATTCAAAAAGTAATTTGGTTATTATTCTTTTAGCAATTTTCTCAATTGCTCTTATATTCTATTCTATTCGGTTTGTAGTTTACTTTAATTCTAATTAGTATTTCTTTAGATTGACTGCAATGGATAAAAGTTATGAAAATTGGCTTTTCACAACTTCTAAGCCGGACGAACAAGCGCACAGATGCGTTGTGGTTTTCGACAAAAAGCATGCGGTATCGTTTCAACATGGTGATCATTCGTCATTCGAGAAGGATGAAAAGCTCACCTTGTACGGTGTGATAGACTCGGATTTGATGATTGAGGTATATTTGAAGTTTTGAAATAGATTTTAGTCATTGAGCAATTTATTTTGGTACTTTGGTATTTGGGAGGGGGCACTTTTATCCTGGCTTAGCTGGATAGAATATTTTGAGTCGTGGTATATCAAAGCCTTTTAACTACCTATCTTAGCGTAATCAAATATGCCTATGCTTTTAGAGCATTTACAACATTACAGCAATACAACCACTCAAAACATCCAACTAAGCCAGGATAAAAGTGGCTCCTCCCAACCACCAAAGTACCTTTATTTTTTATACTTAACGAATTGCTCAGCTTTTCCGGTTGTTGTGAGTGCCGTTTCCAAGGAGAACGATTTTCTCATTTTCGAATCAACTGGTCAAGAGTTTCCGTATCATCCTCATAGTTTTGATTCGATGGTATGCGGCCAAAAGTATCTTCAGTTGGGAGTAGATCAAGAGAGAAAACCTGTTTGGAAAGAAGGGATTATTTCAGAGAGGCGCGGTATGTTTATAGGAAAATTTCAGAAAATTCTTATTTTGTGATGCTTATTCCCCCCTATAATTTTGGAGTTGATCAGAGATGGTAAGTGGTTATAGCTCCCTCGTTAGTTTTCTTTTGCTTGCCTGTAACAACCCCTTAGAATCACCATTTCTAAGGGTTTAAAGATATCTATAGGAAAGAAAGAAAAGCAAGAAAGCCTGAAAAGAAAGCCCTCAACTTCCAGTGGGGGCCTGTTCTTCAATAATGCCCTGTTTATATTATAGAAATTATATATTATTTTTAAACTATATTTTACTAAGATTCCGTTTAATAATTCAATTATTTTTAGATGGATATTATTTTGGTACTTCGCAAGGAGGATATGGCGATTCGGGTTCTGGTATCTTCGATATGGGCGGTCGCTTCATCGGAAGCTTAGTAGCGAAGACGGATTTTGCTTTGTCGGATCCCAAAATTGATGATGGAGGATTGGCTGATCACCATCCTGAGACGAGAATGATTTCATCGATTCTTATTTTTGGCCATCTTCGTTGGGATGATGATCCAAATGAAAAGGTAAGTATCATTTTAATTCTAATTAAAAACATTGTTTTACAATTTTATTATTCTAGTTTTCGCCTACTGAAACGAAGCAGGCAGCCTAAATGAAGTGATTTCTTTAAAATTAGTCTTCTTGTTGTGACTTGTTCTAAGAATTATTGTTTTTGATTTGAATAAAATTTATCCTTGATATGGTATAAATAAAGATTATTTCATTTTTATCTTTTATTTACGTAACGTGATGCAAGACTTGTTTAAATTTTTTATGACGAGTTTTTAAAATGGCATGCTGTACTTTGCATTTAACTTCTGATGAAACGAGTTTTGAATACTCATTTACACAAGAATTTATGGATAGAAATTAGGAAATAGGTTTATTAAAAATAGATGGTAAATTAGAAATTGACAACAGAATTGGTGTCAATTTCTGACAAATTTTATTATGTAGTTAATGGAGGTGATAAAAATAATAATCAAGTTTATGAAAAGGATACTATAGCTAATCCAGAAGCTAAATACGATTTTAATGAATTAGTTAATAACACTGATAGTTCGTTAAAAAGCAACAAAAATTTCTTTAATGCAGGATTAGAAAATGGTAAAGTCTTTCTTGGTATAAAGAAAGCATATTCCATTGATTTGAATAACCATTTTTCCTTGAAATTCTTCGTCTTCGGGCAGTTCAACGTCACCCTCAGCTGTTTCTTTTAGTAGGCGCTGTATACCCAAGGCCAATTTCACTCCTCCCGATTTACCTTTTTTCGATCAGAATCAAAGATAGTAAACTCCTCGGAGCAAAGCCACTACCATGTCTATGTTAGTAGGCATTCTTAAGAGGGGTCCAAAATTATGGCAACCAGTTTTTGGAAATCTATTCTTTTCCGAAAAAACTACTGAAAGTAGCATGTATTCTAGATACCATTTGAAAGCCCTAATTCTCAGCATCATTAATACATCAAAGATTTTTTGGCCAGAGCTAATTTTTGACCCTTAGGGGCTTTCGATATGAGCTCGCCGCAAGCACCCCGCGGCAACCTGCCATTTTTCGGGATGTCTGCTTCTGCTGTCTGAGGCGCTTTTGGATTGTCCTCTTGGTTTTAGAGTATTGAATTAAATCAATTTTGATAAAATATGTACGAATTGGATCGTATTTCCTGTTTTTCTTGGATAGATTTTTATGTAAAAACCACGAAAAATGGCAGGTCGCCGTGGGGTGCTTGCGGTGAGCTCATTGCGAAGGCCAGTAAGGGTCAACAATTAGCTCTGGCCAAAAAAAAAACTTAAATGTATTAATAATGCTGAGAATTAGAGCTTTCAAATGGTATACAATACATGCCACTTTCTATAGAAAAGTTTCCGAGGATGCTTCCTAGTATGCTTTTAAAACAAAGAAAGCCAAAATGAACAACAACAGAGTAAATTTTCACAAGGTTCACTACCATTTTTTCAACCCCCCCCCCCTCCTCCTGCCTGCACTACTATGACACTATGACAGAAAATACGGTATTATAAATAGGTAATTCATCAATTTTTAAGGTATTGTCGATAGTTCCCATTTTAATTGAAAACCTCAAGACTACTTGAGCTCTATTGCAAACGCATCAAATATGAAGACAGCTAAGGTAATATTCTTTGTTGATTTAATGTTGAAGTCATGAATTTTAGAAAAGACAAGCGCGAGAAACGAAAGAAACCCAAGACATCAAAGACGAGCAAATCGAGAAAAAGAGAGCTCTCGAAGAGGAGTCCAAGCAGCAGTGTCAGCACTTCAAGTTCATGTGAGTGATTTCGCAAGTAGATTTCCTGTTAAACTCTTATTTTGGGGCAACTTTACCTTTTCAAACATATCCAACCAAAGCCAATTTTATTTAAGGAATCTTTAAAAGTTGCTAGCTTGGTGCAAAAGAAGTTCCTTTTTTTAAAACAAACATTTAATTTATTCAAAATTCCTTTAGGTAACAATTTATTCCAAACAATAAGCACCATCGTTATCTATAACATCCCTCCAACGTTGCTTCAGATTGCTATCGAAAAACACTTGATTCTGTGATTGAAAGTAGTTAGTCACCCAAGTTTCGACTTCTTGCGCATTCTTAAACTGGCAATTCACAGCAAAGCGTAAAAAGAAAGTAAATATCCAAGAGTACAAATATACAAAAGAAGATCAAATAAGATTTTCAGATTTAAAAAATAGAACATTTTATTCCAAGCGAAATTTCTTTTGCACTAACCTAGTATGTTCCCTTTAGCTCCTTCTCCATCACCAAAGCCGAGTAGAAAACGAAGCAGAGATTTCCCTCCGAAGCCAAATGATTCAGGTAAGAATTGAAAATGTTAAAATTAATGGTTGTTTTTAGATAGCACCGTTCCCCTAAACTGTTTGCTTCACAAGCGAAATCTTTTGGCGGAGGTAGCCGTGAATTGTTTGGATGCAGACAAGCTCGCAAGCATGATTCCATTTTGTCTGATTGTAAGTTTTTGTTGCACTTTAAATAATTTTTTGCCTAGGATCGGACAAAAGAAGAACTTATTCAAAAAGTGACTGAAGAATTGGAGGTAATGTCCAAGAAGCGGATTTTGGCAGCGCTTGAAGGTAAAAATTTCTATGTTTTACTATACAGGGTGTTCCAAAAAAAAGTTAGCTCGATTTTTCTCAGAATTTCTAGTGGCTCCTGGAGATTTTTGTGGTGCCAAAGCGAATGTTTTGGGCGGGCAAATTTCGATATTTTTTTTCACTTTTTTCCGATTTCATGACACCCCTATGCATGAAACTTCTGAACCACCATGGTCACCACCACCAGATGGGCCACCACCATGGAATCTTTGCCATAAAATTAAAACTTTCTACTGGCATCGTAATGTCATATTAGAGTTAATATACAAACTAAGATTTTTAGCCAAACACTTTATTCATCTACATTATATGATAATCTGTCGTCCATGAGATTTTCAACTCGCCTTTTTTAAAGAAGTGTCCCGTTTTTCCAAGGAAACGATGATCAATAATGTGCATGGTTAAAACTTGTAGTTATTCTAATAGTGTTTATTATGCACCACGATGTCAGTAGAAAGTTTTAATTTTATGGCAAAAATCTCATGGTGGTGGTGACCATGGTGGCTCAGAAATTTCATGTTAGGAAAGTCATGAAATCGGGAAAAAGTAACAAATATCAAAAATTTGCCCACTCAAAATATTCACTTTGGCACCACAAAAACCTCTAGAAGCCACCAAGTTCTGAGAAAAATCGAGCTGAACTGACTTTTTTTTTGGAACACCCGGGTGTTCCAAAATATACAGGGTGCACCCTGTATATTTTGTCTTTTCAGGAAAAGAGGCGCCAAGTAGTAGTGAATCAGAAGAATCGGAACAAGGGATCAAACCTGAAGAGAAGGGACAAGGCCATTCACCGGAAGTAAAAACGCCCAAAACACACGATTCCAATGATAGAGGTTAGTTTTTATGTGGATGGATCTTCATTGACCAATTTTTATTAACGTTTTAAGCCGTAAAGTGCCGATTTTCGTATGCTTTATTCAAAACCATTTAGTGTCAATAATTCAAGAGGCGACTTCGCAATGTCCATTGGAAGAGGGTGAAATCATTGACGATGCCGATTAGATTAACTGTGACTCAAACTAAATCCTGTTGTTGATTATTAGTTTTTTCCGCTTTGCCGGATGATTTTCTAACGGTTTCATTTGTGATCTCTTCAAAATTTGGGATATTTTTGCCTTGTTTTGTTAACTTCTAAATTTTTATAATAAAGGTACTTCAAAATCACAGACAGAGATTTAATCCAAGGAAAGCAGGCATGAGATTATTGACCTCTGGAAAGAAGAAATGAACAAAGGAATAAATAAATACAAAAGTCCCTAGAACAATTCACAAAAAGCATACTAATTTTTAAAAAGTCGCGATTGCACGTGTAGACTGCACGTTTCTATACGGTCCGGATCTTCTTGGGAGACGGAGCCTAGAATAATCAAAGTGTAAAAGAATGTTTAATTAGAATTAAAATAATACTTACCCCTAAACGATAGTTAGTAATAATCTCTCCTGCAATGATTTTCGTCCATGGATGGTGATCAGCCACTCCTCGATAATCAATTTTTGAACCATTCACAACTTTCGGATTCATGAAATCAAAATCCCTCTTCGCGACTGAGATTCCGATGAAACGGCCGGTCATATCGAAGATACCAGAACCCGAATCGCCAGATTCTCCATGCGAAGTACCAAGAAAATGGCCAGCTAAAAATAATTGAATTACTACACGGAATCTTAATAAAATAGTTTTAAAATAATATATACATATATTGTAATTCCTATATTATAAACAGGACATTATTGAAGAACAGGCCCCCACTGGAAGTTGACGGCTTTCTTTTCAGGCTTTCTTGCTTTTCTTTCTTTCCTATAGATATCTTTAAACCCTTAGAAATGGTGATTCTAAGGGGTTGTTATACGCATGCAAAAGAAAACTAAGAAATATAGTGGAGAGATGGGTTACTGAGGAGGATCTCAATCTTCAATGGGGGCCCGTTCTTCAATGGTGCTCATAAACATACCGCGCTTCTTTGAAACTATCCCCTCTTTCCAAAAAGGTTGTCTCATTACATCTACTCCCAGCTGAAGATACTTTTGGCCGCAATACATCGAATCAAAACCATGAGGATGATACGGAAACTCTCGATCAGTTGATTCGAAAATGAGAAAATCGGTCTCCGTGGGAACGGCTTTCACAACAACCTGAAAAGCTGAGCAATTAGTTAAGTATAAAAACTAAAGGTACTTTGGTGGTTGGAAGGAGCCACTTTTATCCTGGCTTAGTTGGATGTTTTGAGTGGTTGTATTGCTGTAATGTTGTAAATGCTCTAAAAGCATAGGCATATCCGATTACGCTAAGATATGTAGTTAAAAGGCCTTGATATACAACGACTCAAAACATTCTATCCAACTAAGCCAGGATAAAAGTGGCCCCTCCCAAATACCAAAGTACCAAAATAAATTGCTTAATGACTAAAATCTATTTCAAAACAAATTATACCTCAATCTCCGAAATCGGCTTTGTCACACTGTACAAGGTGAGCTTATCACCCTCTTTGAATGACGGATGACAAGAACCATGTTGAAACGATACCGCAAGCTTTTTGTGGAAAACCACAACGCATCTGTGCGATTGTTCGTCCGGCTTAGAAGTTGTGAACAGCAATTCTTCATAACGTTTGATTTCCGCTTTATCCATTGCAATCAATCTAAAGAAATACTAATTAGAATTAAAGTAAACTACAAACCGAATAGAATAGAATATAAGAGCAAACGAGAAAATTGCTAAAAGAATAATAACCACATTACTTTTTGAATTCTTCATAACGTTTGGCTTCCGCTTGATCCATTGCAGTCAATCTAAAGAAATACTAATTAGAATTAAAGTAAACTACAAACCGAATAGAATAGAATATAAGAGCAATTGAGAAAATTGCTAAAAGAATAATAACCAAATTACTTTTTGAATTACAATTTGGCATTGTGAAATAAGCGGACCTTTAAAGCTAAATTAAATTAAAATTATTTGGAAGAAAGATTAAAGTATCTAGGAAGAAATTAAATAAGCTAATATTTTGTTTGTGTTTATAGGCGAAATAGCCAAAAAAAAAGAGACAAAATTTTGAGTGGGGGATGGGGTAAGCCAGTATAGCCCTCTTGAAAAATTGCTTAAATGATCTTGTATGTTTTTATGACGAAAAAGTGGTAAAATAATGAGATGAAGAAAGGGGGGTTGAGCTAGTATCACCAAAATGAAAAAATGTTTTAAAAAGGTGTTAGCGCCGAAAATTTCTCAAAATGCACTCTGATTTTATTTCAAAAAATGTAGACGTTAATTATTTAGCAGAATATCTTTAACTTACTTCTAGTGGTGTAAAAAAGTTCAGTCTAGCAATTATTTTATTTTTCGCATGCTCTTGAATTAGCTAATTTTACATTTTTACGCCTTTCTATTTCTGTCACCCTTTCTCTTCTCTCGTGCAAAAACCACACTGTCCCTCCATAAAACGCCTAGTTATATGCCTGTCTTTCCTTCCAAAAATTATTCCGAAAAACAGTTCTTTTTGTTTACGAGGACTCCTTCCCGCGTCAAGCTTGCTCTTTTTAACATTTCATCTACTTAAATTCGTTTTTAATTTTCTCTTCAGAGAATGTCTGTTCAACCAGTCAACCCAAAGCCGTTCCTCAATGGGCTCGCCGGAAAGCCAGTTGTGTGCAGATTGAAGTGGGGAATGGAATATCGAGGCGTCCTCATCTCGGTCGACGGCTACATGAATGTCCAGGTGCAGTTGTGTTTATGTCAATTTTTTTATGGTATAGCTTAAAGCTAGTTGGAGCAGTACGTTTTGAATTTTGTTAGCTATGTCGCTTGTAAACAATCGAGTAAAAGTATAACGAGTAACCCTTCCTTAGGTAAACTTAGGCATTTTCAAATAAATTTTTTATTTTTTAGATGGCTAACGCAGAGGAATACATTGATGGAACAAACACTGGAGCTTTGGGGGAAATTTTAATAAGGTGATTAATGTGACTTTTTTCTAATTTGTTTAATTTGTCTAGGTGCAACAACATCCTCTACATCGGAGGTGCCGAAGACTCAGAAAGTTGATCGCCTAGTTTTCATCATTTATCATTTTGCTAACTTGTTGAGTGTGTAACGTTATTATTGATCTCTTCCGTATTTTTATGAATAAAGTTTAATTTGTTGAGTTAATTATGTTCACGGTGTATGAATCAAACGCAATACCTATAAAATGGAAAGTTTATATATGCGAATTAAAAGGAAATGGGTGTTGTGTGAAGCAGTTATCAGAACTTTTGCGACGATGAAACATTTAGGTAGTTTAAGATGAGTGACTCACCGGCCGCTCCAGGAACTCCATCTGGCTCCGGGGAAAGCTCTCCAGAGGACGATTACATTGGCAGGTTAGTTGATTAAAAGCTTTTGCTAGCCAAAGCCAAATCTTTTTAGTAACGAAAAGTCGCCAGAGCCAGAGCTCGGAAAAAAGGCAGATGTATCTCGGAAAAATAGCAAAGAAAAGTATGTTTTTTGAATTATACTGGTCGTTGCTGTAGTGATGACTCGAGTAGGTTCTCCCAACCACCAAAGTACCTTTATTTTTTATATTTAACTAATTGCTCAGCTTTTGAGGTTGTTGTGGGTGCCGTTTCCGAGAGAAACGATTTTCTCGTTTTCGAATCAACTGATCAAGAGTTTCCGTATGATCCTCATAGTTTTGATTCGATGTATGGCGGCCAAAAGTATGTTCAGCTGGGAGTAGATTCAAACAGAAAACCTGTTTGGAAAGAAGGAATCATTTCAGAGAAGCGCGGTATGTTTATAGACATTATTGAAGAACGGGCCCCCATTGAAGATTGAGATCTTCCTTGCAAGGGAAGATCATCAGGGTTTTGTGGCCAAATGACACGAGCAGTTTCCGACGTAGAATTGCACGCTGAATCCGAATCTGCTTTCCGTTTTTGCTGAACGGCCCTCTGTCAAAAGTTATAAGTATGTAAAGTTTTGAATGGAATTTTAAAAATCATCCCTCGAGGTTATCAGCAGATTTCCCAGAGACAATAAAGAGCAGTAGTGGTCAAGTGGTAGTCAATTGGAATACGAGGCTAACTCTCAGTGCAATGCCCCCCAACCGGCGTAGTACCAATGTTAATAGTTAAAAGTAACCATTCTTATGAGAAGTAGTTTGAAGTTCGAGTTCGAGTGCACAGTTTAACTTTTTTTTCCTTTTTTAGAGGTAGTTGCTCTTCATTTCAAATACAAATCTTTTTCGAACTACTTCTCATAAAAATGGTTACTTTTAACTATTAACATTGTTACTATGCCGGTTGGGGGCATTGCACTGAGAGTTTGCCTCGTATTCCAATTGACTACCACTTGACCACCACTGCTCTTTATTGTCTCTGGGAAATCTGCTGATAACCTCGAGGGATGATTTTTAAAATTCCATTCAAAACTTTACATACTTATAACTTTTGACAGAGGGCCGTTCAGCAAAAACGGAAAGCAGATTCGGATTCAGCGTGCAATTCTACGTCGGAAAATATATTTTTTCTTTGCAAAACCACAGAATGTGCGAGTGGAGTGGTGAGCATAGTCGCTTGCCAATATTGCCAAATGACTCGTGTCATTTGGCCACACAACCCTGATGACCTTCCCTTGTTAGTAACCCATCACTTCACTACATTTCTTGCGAAGGATCTTAATACTTACCATCTCAGATCGACGCAAAATTATAGGGGGGAATAAGCATCACAAAATAGGAATTTTCTGAGATTTTTAGCTGCTAAATGCTAGAAATAACTGAAATATAAGGTTTCAAAGTTTTTAGATTGAAATTAAGCATTTTTGGAGATTTACACAACACTTTAAATGGAGCTCTCACAAACACCGGGGGAGTAGCCGGGTGGCCAAGTGGTTAGGAACTCTAGCTGGTAGACCAAAGTCGCTGGTTCGACTCCATCCCCGTTGTTCTTTTGGTTTTTTTTGCAAAACCACAGAATTTGCGTTCTATTTATTTTTTTGCTTTTTCAAGTTTATTGTGAGTTTTTGCCATAAAAGGTAAAGATAACAAAATGTTATTTAAAACTAATCGTACACCCAGGGTAGAACTCCAGTGCCTTGCCCAATTGGGTCATGACAATTCAATCGCCGATCCTCAACCCATTGGTGTAGGTAGTTGGGGTGGTGGGCATAGTCGCTTGCCAATCTTCATCGTTGTCCCATTCATTCGGGAAGTCTTCTGTTGGTTCACATTCCATTGTTTCATCTTGTTCATCCACGACAATTTAGCTTTATAGCTCCCTCGTTAGTTTTCTTTTGCTTGCGTATAACAACCCCTTAGAATCACCATTTCTAAGGGTTCAAATATATCTTATAGGAAAGAAAGAAAAGCAAGAAAACCTGAAAAGAAAGCCCTCAACTTCCAGTGGGGGCCTGTTCTTCAATAATGCCCTGTTTATATTATAGAAATTATATATTATTTTTAAACTATATTTTACTAAGATTCCGTTTGATAATTCAATTATTTTTAGATGGATATTATTTTGGTACTTCGCAAGGAGGATATGGCGATTCGGGTTCTGGTATCTTCGATATGGGCGGTCGCTTCATCGGAAGCTTACTCGCGAAGACGGATTTTGCTTTGTCGGATCCCAAAATTGAGGATGGAGGATTGGCTGATCACCATCCTGAGACGAGAATGGTTTCATCGACTCTTATTTTTGGCGATCTTCGTTGGGATGAACCAGATGATGCAAATGTAAGTATTATTTTAATTCTAATAAACATTCTTTTACATTTTTATTATTCTAGTTTTCGCCTACTTAAATAAAGCATGCAGCCTAAATGAAGTGATTTCTTTAAAATTAGTCTTCTTGTTGTGACTTGTTCTAAGAATTATTGTTTTTGATTTGAATAAAATTTATCCTTGATATGGTATAAATAAAGATTATTTCATTTTTATCTTTTATTTACGTAACGTGATGCAAGACTTGTTTAAATTTTTTATGACGAGTTTTTAAAATGGCATGCTGTACTTTGCATTTAACTTCTGATGAAACGAGTTTTGAATACTCATTTTACACAAGAATTTATGGATAGAAATTAGGAAATAGGTTTATTAAAAATAGATGGTAAATTAGAAATTGACAACAGAATTGGTGTCAATTTCTGACAAATTTTATTATGTAGTTAATGGAGGTTGATAAAAATAATAATCAAGTTTATGAAAAGGATACTATAGCTAATCCAGAAGCTAAATACGATTTTAATGAATTAGTTAATAACACTGATAGTTCGTTAAAAAGCAGCAAAAATTTCTTTAATGCAGGATTAGAAAATGGTAAAGTCTTTCTTGGTATAAAGAAAGCATATTCCATTGATTTGAATAACCATTTTTCCTTGAAATTCTTCGTCTTCGGGCAGTTCAACGTCACCATCAGCTGTTTCTTTTAGTAGGTGCTGTATACCCAAGGCCGGCAGGCTTAGCAGACATTCTTAAGGGGGTCCAAAATTATGGCAATCAGTTTTTGGAAATCTATTCTTTTCCGAAAAAACTACTGAAAATAGCATGTATTCTATATACCATTTGAAAGCCCTAATTCTCAGCATCATTAATACATCAAAGATTTTTTGGCCAGAGCTAATTTTTGACCCTTACTGGCTTTCGATATGAGCTCGCCGCAAACCATTTAAAAAAATTTTTTTTAAATTTTTTTTTTTTTTTTAAAAAAAAAAAAAAAAAAAAAAAAAAAAAAAAAAAAAAATTTTTTTTTTTTTTTTTTAAAAAAAATAAAAAAAAAAAAAAAAAAAAAAAAAAAAAAAAAAAAAAAAAAAAAAAAAAAAAAAAAAAAAAAAAAAAAAAAAAAAAAAAAAAAAAAAAAAAAAAAAAAAAAAAAAAAAAAAAAAAAAAAAAAAAAAAAAAAAAAAAAAAAAAAAAAAAAAAAAAAAAAAAAAAAAAAAAAAAAAAAAAAAAAAAAAAGGTATGTAAATAGGCGCTTTATGGAGGGGAAAGTGTGGTTTTTGCACGAGAGAAGAGAAACAGTGACAAAAGCAGAAAGGCGTAAAAATGTAAGATTGGCTAATTCTAGAGCACTCGAAAATAAACAATTGCTCGACTTGACTGTTTTAAACCACTAGAAGCAAGTTAAAGATATTCAGCTAAAGAGTTAAGGTCTACATGCCAACGATTTTTCGAAATAGTTAAATCTTTAAATAGCTTTAAAGTACATTTTCAGCAATTTTCGGCGTTAAAACTTACACCTAAAGTCGAAATAAAGTCTTTCGTTTTTCTATTTTTTTTAAATTTATTTCAAGCGCTATTATGGCGATGCTTTAGGCAGATCAACTTCGAGACCCCTTGGACCCTATTGCAAACACATCAAATATGAAGGTAGCTAAGGTAATATTTTTAAATTTAATGTTGAAGTCTTAAATTTTAGAAAAAGCAAAAGCGCGAGAAACGAAAGAAACACAAGACATCGAAGACGACCAAATCGAGAAAAAGAGAGCGCTCAAAGAGGAGTCCAAGCAGCAGCAGTGTCAGCACTTCAAGTTCATGTGAGTGATTTCGCAAGTAGATTTCCTGGTAAACGGTTATTTTGGGGCAACTTTACTTTTTCAAACATATCCAAACAAAGCCTATTTTTTTAAGGAAATTATCCAATGTATGTTGCCTTTAGCTCTTCTCCATCATCAAAGCCGACTAAAAAACGAAGCAGAGATTTCCCTCCGAAGCCAAATGATGCAGGTAAGAATTGAAAATGTTAAATTTAATGGTTGTTTTTAGATAGCACCGTTCCCCTAGACTGTTTGCTTCACAAGCGAAATCTTTTGGCGGAGATAGCCGTGAATTGTTTGGATGCAGGCAAGCTCGCAAGCATGATTCCATTTTGTCTGATTGTAAGTTTTTGTCACACTTTAAATAATTTTTTTGCCTAGGATCGGACGAAAGAAGAACTTATTCAAAAAGTGACTGAAGAATTGGAGGTAATGTCCAAGAAGCGGATTTTGGCAGCGCTTGAAGGTAAAAATTTCTATGTCCTACTATATACATATTTTGTCTTCAGGAAAAGAGGCATCGAGTAGTAGTGAATCGGAAGAATCGGAACAAGAGTTCAAACCTGAAGAGAAGGGACAAAGCCATTCACCGGAAGTAAACACGCCCAAAACGCACGATTCTAATGATAGAGGTTAGTTTTTATGTAGATGGATTTTCATTGACCGATTTTTGTTAACATTTTGAGCCGTAAAGTGGCGATTTTTGTATGCTTTATCATCTACCATTTAGTGTCATTAACTGAAGAGGCGACTCCTCCGCAATGTCCATTGGAAGAGGGGGAAATCATTGATGGTGCCGATTAAATTAACTGTGAGTCGAACTGTTGTTGATTATTATAGCTTTTTTCGCTTTATGGGTGATTTTCTTAACGGTTTCATCAATTTGTGATCTCTACTACGGAATTTGGAATATTTTTGCCTTGTTTTGTTAACCTCGGAATTTTTATAATAAAGGCAGTTCAAATTTCACAGACAGAGATTTAATTCAAGGAAAGCATGCACATGAGATCATTGACCTCTAGAAAGAAGAAACGAGCACAGAAATAAATAACACACAAAAACACTAGATGAAATTGCTATAACCCATTCAATGATTGCAAGCATTTAAAAAGAGGCTTTAGTAGTTTTAGAAATTTCGGCTGATGGTTGGAAGTGGTTGTTGAGCGACTGCTTGATCAATGATCTCCAATGATCTGAAGTTTTGATTTAAATTTTAAGCTCAAATATAAGCAAGCTTGTAGACTAACTTGGTTCTTCCTAAAGCTATCCTATGAGTAAAAGCTGGTTTTTCACAGGCTTTTTCCGGTGAAAGCGCTGGTGGTTCATTGATCGACCCAACTTTTGCTCCTTTGCCGAATTCTTTGTGCAATCGATTTATTAGGGCCTAAATTGTTTTTATGCTTCGATGCATTTTGATATTTACCTGGGTTCTATAGATACTCTCCTTTCGTTCATGAGATCTTTGGGAGGAGCGCTCACTCGAATCACTACTCGAAGGGGTTGGAGCTGAAATATTGTTCGTAAATTGTTATCTAGTCCAAGTACCATCATTTTTCTTGGTCAGGGCTGCAAGGATAACGGGTAAGACAACCAATCCATGCCACATTCCGAGAACCACGACAACGGTGATAGTTTTCAGGAAAACAATCGCCAAATAGGATTGCTTGAAAACAAGTGGAGCCAGCGCAACCAAAGTCGACAATCCGACCTGGGAAACTTTCTTTTATTCATTTAATGGCTTCATTTTTAACCTGCATTAGTGGCCATCCAATTGTTGTTAGCGCTTCCTCGACTTTGTCCACAGCATTTAGCGGTTTTGCCTGAATAATTTCGCCAACTAAAGAAAGTTTTTCAGCTTACTTTGTAATAGTGATAGCACATATGGGCTGTGTAATCAACCGAGAAACCGATAGCCATCAAAAGAGCTGAAAAGAAAATGCATTATTTCAAAATCAGGATCCTAACAACTCCCATAGACTCTCTTAATCACTGGGCTGAATGTCGTTATAGTTATTGTTAGCTAAACGTACCGGCCATCGACAAAGGATCCAGCTGAATTCCCCATAGCGTTAAAATTCCGACGATTCCAACTAAACAAAATTCCTAGTTTTAACAACAGCACTCAAACCAGTGATTGAGAGGACCGAACAACAGGCGCAAATGACGCAGAACAATGAGGGAATGAAGAGAACACAAGCAAGTGCCGTACACAAAAGAGAAGCGCCCACCGAGGACCAAACTGTTGAGTCGATAACCATTGTCTATAAATTGAAAACCAAAGTTGAATTCCTTCATCTCAGCTTATGTAAACAATCTCTTTATACTAACCTGATCGACAAATGGGGAATGATCGGAGAAAGGAAAAACCCCAAAGTCGGGATATTTCTCGGCGATCGCTCTCCACGCTTTCACTGCCGGAATCAACTCGTGATATTTGATCACCTGTAAGGTTTTCTTTAATGTTATAGCTTTATTTCATTACCCCGGCGAAATTGGTCATAAAGAAGAACTCGGAGATGCAATCGGGTAAATCATCATCACAAGCGGTGGAGTTGAATTTGACAAAAGTTTCCAAATAGAAATAGGTGGCTGACTGAAATTTGGGGATCATTTCAAATTCAAATTTGCGAGATCACCTGGAAGAAAGTGGGGATCTCGGTGTAGGTGAACTTCGGTTTCACATTTCCCTCCTCATCATCGCTGTCGACGTAGTACTGTAAGTTTTGTATTTTTCCGGATAACAGAATGACCGACAATTATAGCGCTGCATTTTAGAGGGTCTAGATTGATCGAAATTGGGTCAATCATTCAACGAAAAGATTGCTCTCAAAAATCCCATCACTCGGCTCTCAACTTTGAAAGGGCCTATAGGAGAGTTGAAACCTTGAATCGATTAGATAATGGGCAACGTTAAAGGGGACATACTCAAGATCTACCTCCAGAAAAATCAAAACGTTTGACCCAATTTTGGCCAATCTAGACCCTCTGAAATGAAGCTATAATTGTGAGCCACCTTGTAGTCTTACTCAATTTACCCAACCTCCAAAAAATCCTCATATTGTCGAATCCAAAAGAACGTCGAATTTGGCCCATACGAGTTTACTGTAGTCTCGAATTCGTCAACAATTTTCTTGACAGCTAAATATTTCAAATATTTCTGTGTTTGAGTCAGAATCGAGATTACTTTCCAATCTTTTCGGATCTCGAAGATCACCGGGATTTTTAACGAAAACTGAAATCGGTTGCATGCTTCGCATTGCGTCTTCAAAGTGCTTTTGAAAGTTCTGAAAATTTTAAAATGGATAGGGATTGAAAAGTATTTAAAAAGCTAAAATCTACCTGTACATATGAATCGGGTAGAGTCATCTTTTCGAGTGAGATCAACGTTTCCACTCGTTGAATTCCCACCGCCGAGAGATAGTAGTACAAAGCCATCAAAATCAACAGCACTATTCTAAAAATGATCGATTACAGAAAGACTTCAACTGCAATCTATTTACCTGCATGTCCAAGTGAGACACGTTTTTGCCCACCACCGAATTACTCGAACTTGTATAGCGACCACTTCTTCAACAAGTTGTGAACGAGCCTAGAAAGGGTAGGATAAAATTCGGATCGGATAATTACGGTAGGTAAAATCTTACCTGTCGATTTGCCTTCAAGCAACAAAGAACAGCCTGCTTTCCCGATTTCTCCCGCCTTCCCGACCAGGCCAAAACTGCAGAGAACATGATGAGAATGTAGAAATAACAAACAGTGATCGAGACAGCACTAAACCGGCTATAGAATGGGATTTTGAATTCCTTTCTCATTCAACGCTTCTCAAGGTTTTACCTGAACAAAGAGAAAGCTTTAACCGCCGGAGTTGATGAAGTCATACCGATCACAAACGCCATCACATTCGTTATTGAACTGAATATTTATTGCTTAGGTCAAGGTCAAAGTAATAATAAGTCAAAGTATTAAATATTAATGGCTGATCTTGCATTCGGTACCTGATCGTAATACTCGCGCCAGCCTCTTCCAGGGTGATCGCCATACGATCAGGAATTGGATCATCTATTGACGTGCGATCCCAGGCTCTACATGTTTTGTTTTTAGATATTCTTTGATATGATAATGTACCGTAATATAATGAACACATCATCAACCCCAACAGAGAGCACGAGAAATAGAGAGGCGACCATGATCGATTGGAACTGAATAGGCAATAGGTAATTGGGTTGCGCTTTTGGCAGGGAAATTTGACTCTTTCCTATTACTTACCTTACTCTAAAATTCCTACTCTTTTATTCGCTCTTTTTCATCATTGAATTGGTTGATTAGGATCTGAAATGCTTACTTTCATCTCAAAGAAGCACATGATTCCAGCGGCGGCGAGTAGAGAGAGCAACGGGATCAAACAGCCGCACAATGATTCCCATGGCTTCGATCGAGATGGATCTCTTCTGTAAACATCCCAATGGAATAAAAGTTTAAATTTCAATGGAAACTCTTTCTTTTTAATATCAAAAGCTTTATTTATTTCCGATTCTGCAGTTCTGTTTATTGAAAACCCAGCAAATTTGAAATCATTTTGTCACTTTTCTTTTGCAATTCAGTCCTCAAACTTTAGGAAAAATTTCTCTACCCGGAAAAACCAATAAAATTTTAACACCCTTTTGCCCATTTTTGGTGGTGGCTTTTGGCTGCCATTGTGTATGAAGAGAAGAAGAAAAGAGGAGAAAGGAGACGGTTGGAATGGGAGCACCGATCAGTTTTTGATGAAGAAAAGAGAAATGAGAAGGAGATCGGGGGAAAGAGGAAGAAAGAGAAAGAAAGAAAGATAAAGAAAGAGAAAGAAAGAGAGACCTATCACCTCACAAGAAAGAGACTCGCCTTTTTTTCTCGTATACACCTCTGAAAATGAGGAAGAATGGCTGGAAAATGAATGGGGTTTTTTCCCGAGGTTACCCGCCACTGACCACGTCACACTTACATTTTGAAATCGTACGAGAAAGCACAAAAAGGTATTTAACTGAAGAACAAAAAAGTAGTTGTTGCAGCATTTTCCGCCATTCTTAACAGTTTAAAGATTTACAAGCTTACCTGAAACTGCTCGCGACAACGAAGGCGATCATTGCTGCCACCGATCCGACGATGAGTGGAGCTGTTTCGAGCCCCATTCGCCGAACCTCAGCCGAAATTAGTAAATCTCCAGTGATTCCACACTAAAATTTTCCATTTTTCATCATTAATTTGTTCTTAATTCTATCAGCTTACCTCAAATATAGCGAATTGTGGCTGTTCAAAGGCTTTCCTCGCCTCAATGAGCCAATTGTAGATGACCTAAAATGGAAATATTGCTAATGTACTTAGGATTTAAGGTTTAGATAATTTTCAACTATATTTTATAGCTTATTTTATAGTTGAGTACTGACTTTTTCATCCTCATGATGCGAAACGAGATAGAATGGGAGAATAGCTGTTGAGAATGACTCGATCAAGCCCGAATCGCTCAATTTCAAATTGTAGACATTATTGCCTGGAATTTTGCTTTGAACTTTTGCAAAACTTCTTTAACTTATTGCTTATTGCAAACTCTTAAAGTGTTCTGAAAATGTAAGAGAGAATAAACCGTTGACCTTGTAGTTTGACTCAATGATTTTTCAATCTCATCACCCACTTCTCAAAGCTGTTTGAGCTTTGAGATTTGAGCTTAATCCGCTTTCTTCAGCTTTTAAATCTATTGAAGCTTTTTTGAGTCAAATTTTTAAAAAACTATAACTTCCAATGCTTTTGTAATGAATTTCAATTCAAAA